TGTCTTCCCATTTGTTCAAATATAATTATGCAAGATTGAGATATGTCTTCCCATTTGTTCAAATATAATTATGCAAGATTGAGGTGTGTCTTCCCATTTGTTCGCATATAATTTTTTGTGCCTCTGGAGATGTTCTGAAGTTTTCTTCATATAGGTTTTGCACACGTCTTAAGTTTATTTATAAGTACTTTAGCTTCTTTGATGTTTTTGTAAATGGGGCTTTATCTACAATTGTGTATCCTAATCTGGCCGTTTTCTAGTTTGTAAAGGTTATGGATATCTGTATGTTAATTTTGTACTGAATTATTTTATTGGGGTTATTTTATTTTATTTTATTTTTTTGAGACAGAGTTTCACTCTTGTTGCCCAGGCTGGAGCGCAGTGGCACGATCTCGGCTCACGGCAACCTCCACCTCCCAGGCTCAAGCCATTCTCCCTCCTCAGCCTCCCTAGTAGCTGGGACCACAGGCACGTGCCTCCACACCTGGCTAATTTTGTATTTTTAGTAGAGACAGGGTTTCTCCATGTTGGCCAGGCTGGTCTCGAACTCCCGACCTCAGGTGATCTGCCCGCCTCAGCCTCCCAAAGTGCTGGGATTACAGGCGTGGGCCACCGTGCCCGGCCTTATCTGGGTTATTTTATCATGGATTCTCCTGGGTTTTCCAGATGTACTATGATGTTGTCTGCAAAGAGAGAGAGTTTCACTTCTCCCCAATCGTTGTACATCCTGTTGACTTTTCATGTCGAATTGCATCAATCCATACCTGCAATACCATGTCCGATGCCGTGGGAGGGAGTTGGCAGGCTGCTGCTTTAAAGGCCCACATGGCGAATATTTTAGGCGTTTTGGGCTGGGCTGTCTCCACCCTTGGCACCCCACTTTGCGGTTGTCGTACAAAAGTATCCATAGACAGTGAATAAACGCGTGGGTATGGCTGTGTTCCAGTGAGGCTGGGTTTACAAAAGCACGTGGCAGGCCACAGTGGGTTCCAGGCTGGGGGCCATAGTTGCACCCCTTGTATGGGTGGTGGTGGGAACCCCTGTTCCTTGATCTTACTGGAAACACCTTGAGTGTTTCCTTATGAAGTCGCTGCCTTAGGAATGAGGTGCACACACACACCTGTTACCTGTGAAGAAGGTATTCAGTAATTCCTATTTTCTCGAGCCTTTTTCTTTTTTTTCAGGAATAATTGTTGAATTTCATTGAGGACTTTTTGACCATATATGGAGATAATCATTTTTCCCCTCAGATCTGTAAATATGGTCTATTACGTTAATGGACTTCCTAATACTGAACCAACTTTTCATCCTTGGATTATATCTGCTTGGTTATTGGTGCATTATTTTCCTAATGTGAAACTGGAGTCTATTTCTTAATATTTTGTTTAGCCATTTGCATCAATATTCAAAGGTGATATTGGTGTGTCATTTTCTTTTTTAATTTACTCTCCATATCAGAGTTAAGTGTCAATGTTACACTTCTTAAAAGGACTAGAAATTTTCCTTCACTTTCTGTGCCCTGGAACCATTTACGGGGCATTGAAATTATCTGATCTTTGAAGATTTGGTGGAATTCCATGTTACGACCATCTGGGCCAGGTGCATTTTTGTGGGGTAATCCCTTGATAACTTTCTCTGTTCCTTCTACAGGAGTTGATCTTTTAAGCTTGCTATCTCTAATGGAGTCAATTTTTATAAATTATGTTTTCCTAGGGAAATATATACTTTAGGTTTTCAAATGTATTTGTATATAGGTCTTTCTCCCACTTTTATTCAATCACTTGCCCTCTGCCACACCCAGGGAACCACTTTCTGATATTTATTACTGTAGATTAGTTTGGCCTGTTCTTAGGTGTCATATAAATAGACTCTTAAGTTAATGAACTTTTGCATCTGATTTTTGCTTAACGTAGTGTTTTTGCAATTCATTAATGTTTTTGCATAATCAGTAGGTTTAAAATTTTTTTAATTGTGTAACAGTATTCCATTTTATAATTATTCTGCAATTCATTTATCCATTATCCATTATCCATTTGATAGTTGCTAGAAATAAACAAGCTTTATTTCTAGCTTTTGATTATTATGATCAAGGCCACTGTGAACATCCTTGTTCCAGGCTTTTTGTGAACGTGCCCATTTCCCTTGATGAAATACTAAGGCTGGAACTTCTGGGTTGTAGGGCAGATGTACACTTGCCTTTATGAGAAACAGCAGGACAGTTTTCCAAAGTGACTGTAGCATTTTACATTCCCACCAGTCACACTCTCGCCCTTACCAGTATTCCGTGCTGTCGGTCTTTCTGACAGTGGCCACCCTGGAGTGTGGAGCAGCATCTCGATGAGGTTTTAACTTGCACGTCCCTGGTGGCTAAGGATGCTGAGTGTATTTTCATGTGTATGATGGGTGTTACTCTATCTCTTTGGTAAAGTATCTGTGCAAACATTTGTCCCATTGTTTAAAATTTTTTTTTTTATTGTTGATTTGTAGCAGTTCTTATAGATTCTGGATAAAGTCCTTTATCAATGTGCTGTGCATATTTTTTCTCTGTGGCTTATCTCTTCATTTTTTACAGGCATTTTAAAATAAAGCCCAATTTATCAAGTTTTTTCTTTACGGGTTAGGGTTTTTGTATCCTACCCAGATCCACCGACCTCAAACTCGTGAGGGCATTTCCTGGGTTTCTTCTGGAAGCTTTGTGGTTCTGGGCTTTGTGTTTGTGTCTGTCATAGGTCTTGAGTTAATTTTTGTGTGTGTAGCATGAGATAGGAGTCGGGGTTCATTTTTCCATACGAATCTCCAGCTGTCCCAGTCACGCTGTTTCAGACCTTCCTTCCCCACTGACTGACCTAGTGCCTTGGCTGAGGGTCAGCTTGTCTAGCCTGACCTTGTCCTAATGACCAGAGCTTTATAGGAAGCCATGAAGTCAAAATAATTTCCACAATTTTGTTCTTTTTTTTAACAGGATTTCTTTAGCAAGGCTCGTTCTTTTGCAATTCCATAACTATTTCATTATTTTATTATTGTAGAGACAGAGTCTCACCCTGTCACCCAGGCTGGAGTGCAGTGGCGTGATCTCAACTCACTGCAACCTCGATTTCCCAGGCTCAAGCAATCCTCCCACCTCAGCCTCCCAAGTAGCTGGGACTACAGGTGTGCACCACCATGCCCAGCTAGTTTTTAAAGTTTTTGTTGTTTGTCTTTTGTAGAGATGGGGTCTCACTATGCTGCCCAGGCTGGTCTTGAACTGCTGGGCTCAAGCAATTCTCTCACCTTGGCCGCCCAAGGTGCTGGGATTACAAGCATGAGCCACCACGCCCAGCCATAAAAATTTGAGAATCAGCTTGCCACTTTCTATAAAAAGAAAAAAAAAAAAACCTTTAAAATTATGATTGGGATTGCATTATATCTACAGATCAATTTAGGGAGACAGGACAATCCTAACTACATTGAGCCTTTCAGTCCAGGAACACTGTATATCTCTTAGTTTATTCAGGTATTTTCTCAGTGATGTTGCATTGTTTTCAGTATACCAGCCTTGCACATCTTTTATTAGATTTATTCCTAGGTATTTTATGTTTTTTGATTGGGGCCTGGAGTTTTCTTTGTGAGAAAGTTTTGATTAGAAATTCAATTTGTTTAATACATACTAGGTTATTTAGATTTTCTAGTTCTTCTTATATCACTTTTGTTAATTTGCATATTTCAAGGAGTGTTTCCTGTTTCACTTAAATTGTTTAATGTGTTAACTATCATTTTTAGTATTTTCCTACTATCCTTTTAATATTTGTAGGACCTGTAGTGATGTACTTTTAAACTCCTGGTGTCAGTGATTTCTTTTTTTTCTTGGTGAGTCTTGCTAGCAGATTATCCATTTTATTAATCTTTTCAAAATTTTCAAAAATTCGAGTTTTGGCTCTGCTAATGGCCTCTATTATTTGACTGTTCTAAGCCATTTTCATGGATTTTTGACTCTTACCTTTATTTTTTCTTCCCTTTTCCTTACCTTAGATTTAACTGACTCTTCTCTCTCTAGTTTCTTGAGGAGGGACTACATACTTTTGAAACAGTCATTTTAAGCTCACTGGGATTTGATGCTGACTCTTCTGCTTGTGTGCAATTGGAAGTTTGTTACACTTCCTGTGTCCTCATTATGATGCAATTTTGGGTCTGTGTAGCCACACTTGTTCTTACCATTCTCCATCATTTTGTGGAATGTGCAGGGGGAATTTGGATTTAGGTAACTGCCATTATCCTTGGCTGCCTGGGAGTCTTCAATACCGGTATTTCAAAAGCTCTTAGAAATTGATATTTATAAACCCTAATAGAAAAAGTAGCACATGACATACATAGGGCAGTTTACCAAAGAAGAAATACAAGTTACCAGTGAATGTAGGAAATGTATTTCAATCTCATTAGTAATCAAAGAAATGAAAACTATAATGGTAAAATAATTTATCTCTTTTCAAAAATAATATATCTGTTTTCAAATTGGCAAAGATTTCAGAAAAAGAAAGGAAAATAAAAGTACCCAACATGGTCCAGATTTGAGGAAATTAGTGTATAATATACGGCTGATAGCCACAAACATCATGGGAGTCTCCGAATGTCTGTGGTTTAAAGACACAGATGGAAACGTTTATGAAAGCCATGTCCAGATGACTCTGCCCCCTCACCCCTGCCTCGCGCAGGATGTGAGACTGGGCGAGACATTCCACCTGGTAGCCTGTGCTTGCTCGGTGCCAGCGGCCGTTGCTGCCGTGGACAGATCCTGCGGCTCAGAGGCCACCGTCTTTCCTGCATCCTCACCAGTCACGGCCCGGGAAGCTGCTGCAGGGTGGGGCTGCGCGGCTCACTTCTCAAATAAAGGAAAACGTCACATCAAGCACAGCACAGCCACATCCTTGCCTTCTCCATCTGCTCCCTCCAAAATCCCACAATAGTTACGGCTGTAACTAAGATGTAATAATCATACAAATATTGTGAATAACATACACGGCTGAATTTAACATCAAAATGAAATGAGTTTCTAGAAAGTATTTTAAGATGCCATAGTTAATGTAAGAAAAAATAAAGAACTTGCATACACTAACAATAAATAAATCAACGTGGTGTTAAAATCTGCCCCGTTTCATCTACCGTCTCCGCAAAATGTGCCCACACTAGAGGGTCTTCAGAGTGAGGTGGACCAGGCCTTCCAGAAGCACATCACCCTCATCTTAAGTGGGTCCAGAGAATGGAAGGAAAGGGGCAGGAGTGACTCATGTCTTGATGGTTGTGTATACCGTGTGCAAAATACGCAGAGAAACTACAGGCCAAGTTTAAACATAGATGGATAACCCCTAAGTGAGGTTAATCAATTCCAAGAGCATATTAAAAAGTCATGATCAAAGAAGCTTACCTCATAAAGTACAAGAATGATGCACCATCAGAAAATCTGTCAATCACACACAAAATAAAAATTGTGATTGTTTCAGTAGATGCAGAAAAACACCTGATGGAGTTCAATATTTTTCTCTCTCTTTTTTTTTGAGACAGAGTCTCACTCCATTGCGCAGGCTGTAGGGCAGTGGCGTGACCTCGGCTCACTGCAACCTCCACCTCCCGGGTTCAAGCAATTCTCCTGCCTCAGCCTTCCAAGTAGCTGGGATTACAGGTGTGCACCACCACACCCGGCTAATTTTCATACTTCTAGTAGAGACGGGGTTTCACCATGTTAGCCAGGCTGGTCGATGGAGTTCAACATTTTTCATAATAAAAATCCTTAGAAAAGCGAAGAGTATTCCAGACAGTGTGTGGAAGGAGGTACATGGGCGGAAACGTCTGCAGAGGAGAACGGAGCGCTCCTGCCTTGTCTTAGGTACCAAGTCTCACTGTCACGCCAAGACAAGGTGCATATTTTATAACACATAATTTTACATTTATTAGAAAAGGGGCCGTGTAAAGCATGGCTACCTTCTCATGTTGCCTGTTAACTTGGAGCCTGTGACAAAATGGTAATAAATAAACAAAAAGTGGGCATTTCTAGAGGTTATGAATATGGACTACAAAACAGAAGAATATTGTTGAAACTTTAAGCAAATGATGCTTGCACTTTTTCATTTTGGGTGAGCCAATTTGATTTTTTTTGTTTTTTCTTCTAGTCTCTTAATGGCTTTGCTCTGGTCGTGAGTGCAGAAGGGACGATATTTTATGCGTCAGCAACGATCGTGGACTATCTGGGCTTCCATCAGGTAAATGAAACCAGAATAACCCTCCAGTCTGTTCAGTGCTAGGCTCTCTTCCCTTTGTAAATGTTGGTTGTCGTCAAGGTTTGACAAATGTCTAAAATCGGGTTTGTCCTATCACTGAACTCTTATCAGATAAAGATCTCCACACTCCAGCTTTGTCCAGGGCAGTGCTTCTTCCAGCCTGGGTTCGGGGTCTCGGTGTGAGGCCGCTCAGTGTCGGGGTGTTCTGGTCTAAGGGAGCCGCGGCGTCCGGACAGCGGCCTGGTCTCCTCTGGCTCGGGCACTCCGCTAGGTCCCCTGCCCCAGCAGCGCCATCCCATTCATCCACTCCCAGTCAACGTCTTAACGTCTTCCCGGTGCACTCAGGACACAGCTTGTTCTGGAAATGCCCTTCCTGACGTGGGAGTGGTTCACTTGGAGTGCTGCCCGGTCAGCCCCAGGTGGATGACTCCAGACTTCTAGGCCGAGAATGGGGTTGAGGCCTCGTCAGATACCAAGCCCTGGAAGGGCAACTCACCCAGGAAAAGGTGCGATAAAAAATCCCACCCGGTCAGGCACAGGGATTCACACCTGTAATCCCAGCACTTTGGGAGGCCGAGGCGGGTGGATCGTCAGGCACAGGGACTCACGCCTGTAATCCCAGCACTTTGGGAGGCCGAGGCAGGTGGATCACCAGGTCAGGAGATCGAGACCAGCCTGGCCAAAATGGTGAAACTCTGTCTCTACTAAAAATACAAAAATTAGCTAGGTGTGGTGGCAGGCACCTGTAGTCCCAGCTACTAGGGAGGCTGAGGCAGGCGAATAGTGTGAACCCGGGAAGCAGAGGTTTGCAGTGAGGTGAGATCGAGCCACTGCACTCCAGCCTGAATGACAGAGTGAGACTCCGTCACAAACAAAGAAACAAACAAACAAATCTGACTCGAGGCCAGGAGGGGAGCAAGGGAGCTGTTTTTCTGTCTGGAAAGGAGCTGGGGTCCCTCACGGAAAATCAGATGCCGGTTGTAGA